TTGTACTCAGTTCCTCTTGTCGTTGAGCATCCTTGCGCTGGTTTATCTTCTGTTTCACCATCCTCCTCTCCTCCATCAGCTTCCATGTATCCATTGAGATCCATTCCTTATCTTCTTTCTTCTTCCTTCCTAATACGGTTATGAAGGTTTCTTTCCACATCTCTTTCAAAGAGTTCCAGTGTTCTTCCACACAGGTTTCTTCAGGGATGTCCCTCGATATATCCCATTTTGTCTTGATGGCTGCCTTGAAGATTTCCTTTGTAGCTTCATCCTTCAGTTTCCGAGTGTTGTACTTGAACTGAGGTCTATCACCAGCTTCCTTGAAGGCTTTTAACTTGATTTGGAAGGTTCCTTGCACTAGGTAGTGGTGTGAACCTACATCTGCTCCTCTTCTTGACCTTGTGTCAAGTAGACTGCCTCTCCATTTTCTTGAGATTGAGATAAAGTCGATTTTATTTTAGTGTGTCCTGGTGTCTGGTGAAATCCATGTCGCTTTGTGGATATCCTTGTTTTTGAACACAGTGCCTCACTGCAATCACCAAATCGTTGAATGCACAGAATTCTGCAAACAATTCTCCATTCTCGTTCATCACCTCACCTAGCGCTTCTCGACCCATGGTTAGTTCTCTTCCTGTGTTGTCCCCTCCCAGTTTGGCATTCATGTCACATCACCTATTAGAATTTTGATATCGCCAACTGACGTCTTGTCCAGTGTTGATTGGAGTTGGCTGTAGAATTCCTCCTTTTTCTCTTGTTCTGCATTACTTGTAGGTGCATAGCGTTGCATTGTATGATTGTGACCTTCCTTCCTTTCGAGTTGAACCTTGCTGTCATGATCCTGATCGGAGGATATTGGTTCCCACTGCATGAGAGCCTTCGATGCTCTTGAGGACATCATGATAGCCACTCCATAACTCAGTGTGCTCGTGGTTGTCGTCTGGGTGACCGGAGTAGATTATTGACTCTCGAGTTGACAGTTTGGAGAGTCCACTCCCATTCCATCTGCTTTCGCAAATTCCAAGCACTTCGATGTGATACCTTCTCATCTCGTTTGCAATCTGGGCAGCCTTGCTGGGTTCAAACATGGTGCGGACATTCCATGTCCCCACGTTTACTTTCGCTTTCATCGAGGGAGAGAAGACACATCGGCGAATTGGCTCCCCGAAGGCTTTCACCAACTGGCGTCATTTCACCTCTCCGACTCCAGTAAGGAATAAGTTTGTTTTTATTTTTTATATACCGTTTGTGCTTTGAAGTTTCTTTAGCGGTTAGATTTGTTTTACGGGGTAGGGTTGCTAGCCCTATGCCCAACCTTCCCTCTTTACCCGGGCTTAGGACCGGCTAGTAACTAGTGAACTAGTTAACCAGGCGAGGTTGTCTGCAATATGGTGAGCCAAGAGTGTCGTGAAGTGCCTGTGGCAGGGCAGTGGACCAATCCGCTGTGGCTCCCTAGCACCCTGTGCGTCAGCTGTAAGAGTCGGCTCCTCGATAGCTTCACAAGCAGTCGCATCTAAACGGCGTGCCAAGAAGCCGGTAGCGGTCACTGAACCAACTGTCATCACTCTACGCAGCAAAAAGATAAAGCAGAGCCCCTTGATAGGTCTGTGATCTTCCACAGAGTGGAAGAAAGAAGAGACCCAGAACCAAGCAGCCGATTCGAACGCTGCCCTGGCAAGGTGCAAAGTTTGACAGGCCAGCTTTCACCGGAAAACATGGCAAGAGCTACCCTACGCAAGATACATGGTAGGCAGAAAAGAGATAGTCCTCACAAAAGCAGGTTTCAGCCACTTAGGGCTGCGTTTTAGGTTAACAGAGAAGAGAGGGCAGATTCTGAAAAACGCCCGCAGACTTCAAGGATCTGGAGCGTTCGTATGTAGGGATTTTGCTGTCGCGGATCGAATCAAAAATCAAGAGGCGGAAGGGGAATTAAAGTCGGATTGGTAACAGGAGAGCAAGATCTGGAAGCAGTGGTTTACTTGCAGCGAGGCTTCGGCAAAAATGGTGTCGGAGCCTCTATGGACGCGACGGAAACTCATTTAGGTAGTTTTATCATCTTGTACACACATGCACAATCTCTTAGGCAAGTGGGCTGAGCCTGGTAATGTAAATGGCGAAGAACGTCCTGGCACTATTACTATCTCAGAAACGTGACTATCTTCTGGTACCAGGGGTAGTGAAGCACACTTACGAGGGTCCTTTCCATTTAAAAGTAAAAGGTTAGCCTGAAAATGTGGCGAAGTCAGCCGCTGCGTTAAAAATACCTTGACTGTAAAAGCCATAGAAAGGGCCAAACACGAGAGTGGAGCATGGGAACTGCTGCGCCGCCGACCAAAATGCAAGGGATGAGATATCAGCGTGATCGTGGTGTATCAAAGCCCTGAATGCGGGACAGAAGACCCTTCTGAATAAGATGACCCTGTGGAAAAATAACCGCCAATGCTTAGTTGTAGGCGACTTCAACGCACTACCAGCAGACCGGGACAGGCTAACAACAGAAGTATCACGTAGTTCATTTGATCATAGGTTAGGAGAAACACCAATCCCCTTTGCCGCTATACAGCACATTCGGGGAGCAACCAGACATGATATCAGCATGCTCCATCATTCCTAGACTTGATATTCTCGCACACATGACATATACTTCATCTGGCATCTCGCACCCCTTGGTAAAAGCGAAATATGAGTCTTGCTACGGCTCAAAGAAGGGGTTGAAGTCTTGTCACCCGCCTCGGCACTCCCGAGATGAATAAACATTACAAAGAGGCCCGAAATAAATTCACTGGTGCTATCTGTCGGTTTCAAATATGCTTTAGAAATCGTCTTGCCCAGGCTGGACCGCAACACCCGAAGGGATGGTCTTATTTGAACTGCAGGAATAAGATGTGTCGTCGTATACTCACCCTAATCAAAGGGACAGAATGACTGTTTAGCTGGAGACGACAAAGAAAAAGAAAAGCCATGGCTGGGTGCTATGGCGAGATCTCTACGCCGGAGCCTTCTATGGACGCCAATTAAAAGGCAGTAACGTTGACATCCAGCAGAATAAACTCTGTGGACATCAACTCTAGTGGTGTATTCAGGGTATTAGGTAGTCTGGTATCTAAAACTCAACGGGACCGGTTGAACTCTGTCCACGGCTGCTCAGAGGACTTGCACTCTATGTAGCCAGTTCACTGACTGCTATACTAACTCTCCCTCCGTGAAAACACTATCCTATGGTTGGAAGGATGCCGTGTCATAGTGAGTTATGATCTGAAAACCACAGCACACCAGTGATCGGTAGTACCTCGGAGTTTTTGGTCACTGGGGATCATGCAGAACGTCTGTAAACATGCTCTGTTAAATCGGCTTTAGAAAACCGTACACATGCATTAAATCCTTGTCTAAAAGTGTGACCTGAACGCTCTAGAAGTTCAGAGGGCAGCCACTGGTATGAACCCCGCCATGGTTAGCCTCACGAATGAAGATGACCCTAAGCAGCCGAACCCCTCTCCGAGCCCTATCGCAGACACAGGAGAGCTGTAATCATGCTATGCAGGATTCGGAGAAGTTACTTTGGATTTGATTTATCTTCTTTTCTCCTTCCTGCTAGGTCGGGACACCTCAGATAACGTAGTAAGAGGTCACAAAAGCAAAGAACGAACATAACCTCCGCAGAGCACTGGTTCTGTCATCGAGTTATCAACTTCTGAAACTGACTCCCGGAGGAAGTGGTATCCACATCAACTGTTGACCTGTTCAAGAGGGGAATGGATAGGCACAGAAATCTACTGGAAAAGGACTGAAATGAACTGACGCCATCTGCCCTCAGATGGCTAACCCGAAGTCTGAATTTGGATGTGGTACATGCCGACCACAGAGATTAAGCGGTATTTCTTTCTTCTTTTGACTCTCCCGAAACCTTGAAGAGAAGGAAAGATTAGGGAAACTCGAAACCTGAGCTCGAATCCTAGTACCATTGAGGGCTAACCGAAGGAATATTCAAGCCGACTTTACTGCAGCGTGGTGAAACGACCTGGCGAAGATAGAGATACTGAGACAAAAATTCAGGAACTTGTGATCTCCTTCGTTTGGATGCCTGGTGTTGGATATTGAAAGCAAGGCCTTAGAAACAATCATACTGCCACCCCATGAAATGTTGTTGGGATGCACCAAAAACCAAGTGAACCCAGGTTTATACTCTTTTAGTTACCAAAGGCTACAAGGCGATTTGATAATGGTTTACAAAATATGGAGCAACGCAAATCGCCAGAACAGAGGAATACTACCAAGTGACTACTATGGTAATCCTCGTGGAAACCCTAAGAAACCTGCTCACCGAAGGTCAAAAATTCGTGTGCGTTAACACTTCTTCTCCCTTCGAGTCTGCCAGCACTGGGATAAATCATCAGCAGACGTAGTCTTCGCTCTATCTGTTGAAAGATAGTTATTCAGATACCCACGGCTTACACACATCCATTTGGAATACGAACTAGGTCGAAGAAATCAACTGCTTTCACACTATTCCAACTACGTTACCTTCAAACCACTTTTCCTCCTGCTGTAATCATTTAAGCTCTTTTCGTTCTTTTCACTCACCATGAATTAGCCTCACCTACCCAAGTCCTTCATATTTCTGCAGTCATCTTGTTTTACTTGGATTAATCCACCATTTCACTTTTCTTTGTCCTTTACTAACACACTTGTTCTCCAAGGTTATCTCTTCACCGTCCCTAACTCTGTCTAACGTCTGTCAACTTGATATCTGAAGAACCCATTTGGACCACGGTCCCAGGCAAACTAACCAACACTCAACCTCCTGTTCTATATACCAGAGCTACAGCAGACAAAAGGTTGAATCTACTGCCCCAAGATCAGCTAAAGAACTGGAACCATGCTTTAAGACCAAGAAGCGAGCACAAATAAATCAACTGGTTTATACAAGCTCGTCAAACAGATATTGGATCGCTGATTTATGAAGGTCAGCGCACAACATTCGAGCTATTACGTTACTTGATCACATGGATTGTGTTTATTTTTATGACCATTTGGTGATGTACAGCTTTTCTAATAAATATTGTTGTTTGCAGAATACAGGACCCAAGTTGCATTGAATCAATAATCAGTGGTCGGTTGCCTTTGAAAGCTTCAGGTATTGAATGTCAGACTAATGGGAAAGCTGTCGAATACATATGTAAGCTTCTCTCTGAAGCTTTGAAAGATAGGGTTTCACTTGTGTGTCCAGTCAACATCCGTGTAAAAGGCGAAGTAATTTCGAGACATTCTTTGTAATTTTAGGATGATCTCCAAGCTATAGGTTTAAAATATATTGGTCAACCCACTCATGCAGTCCTTACGAAAGGTCCTCAGAGTAACACTCCTGCTGGGAATGAATTTCGAAGCTTTTGGGGAGAGAAGTCGGAACTTAGACGTATCGATGGGGATTTATGTGAGTGCGTTGCGTGGAACAGTGGAGCTAATGTTTGCATGCAGATCATTAACTACGTTCTGGGAAAGTAAGTGTTACCCTGAATAATTATCTAAATTGCTATTTGCATTGCATTGGCTTTACGGGTTTCTTTTCAGTGTATAGTCTTCAATAACTACTCTACTTGTGTGCACTGTGAATGTGAAAACCAGGTTAATTTCTACGTAGTGCATATATACACTGTTTAAAAGAAATTGAATACAATGTTACTGTCATTTTGTGACTTAAATCGCATATTGCTGTTGTGTATTTGTGGTGAAGTATTTAGCTAATCAACATTGTTGAATTTAATTACTCAAATCACTCTTCATTCTTACATCGGCTGGTTCGAAATTTCTTAGACCTGACCAAAGACTAAAACCAGTGTGTAAGCTGGTACCATTAGACACAACCACCAATTTGTAGAAGGTTGAGGGTTCTAATATCTCCAAATAAGTCAGTTTTTGGGGGAGTAGCGGGTTTTATTGTGATAAATATTTGGAGATTGATTTTCAATACTTTTGGAAATTTTGCAAAGGAGGCAGTAAGTCTGTGGGTGATAATTGAGCGTAATGAACCTAAACTAGTATAATTACAATTTGTTTGCTATTTTGCTTTCAGAAGAAACCACACATGTGCCTCGTATTGTTATTTTTTTCCTAGTGAAGTCATACAACTTCGTTTATCTAAAGGCTGGTTGATTGTACCTATCTGTGGGCGATTCAGTATGCTATTTTATTGATATTACAATAAGCTCTATCTGTTAATTCAGGTAACCAACATCAAAATGAGGCCTGCCATTACCATTTGATGGTTCTAATTGCTACCCCATAACATAACACCAAAGTAGGTCATCATGATCAACATCGTACCAGACATTACTGTCTAATGGTCTAAGTTGCCACACGTCATGTCAACACATGAAGTGACAAGGCAACAAAATGGAAGTTGGAGGGGACGAAAATCTGTCAAAGGAAGTAGAAGTAAGAAGTAGTAAAAGAGAGGAAGGAAGAATGAGATGATGAGGTTAAGTATATCGGTTAAGGTGCGAATAATGTGCGTATGCATCTACGCCACTGACATCGATTCTAAACCATGATGCATCGCCTAGAGTCTCCAACCACTGGTTTTTCTCATCCCATGAACCCTGACCGGTTAGTCTGGATCGCCCTATATGATTCGAATGAACAGTCAAGGACTTCATGCACTGATGCCATATTTTAGTTTGGCCTCCCCGAGCATTTTCCAGCCTGAACCTACTTCAACCAATATTGTATGACGAGGCAGACGTTGGGTAGGCATACGCAACAGATATCACGGTCATCTGAGTTCATAAAGGTTCACAACTGTATCAAATGACCTATCTCTCCTCCCCAAAACACCACGAACCATGGTCTATACGACTAAGGCAACGATGGTCAAACACCTGGAGATTTCTCATGTCTTCTACATTTAGTGGCCATGTTTCACAGCCGTACGGTAGAACAAAGCGGACTGTAGCCTAATGCACTCAACCCTTAGTAGACAATCAAACTTCTCAACGGTGTCACAAATGGCGCAAGTTGGTAAAAGCTAATCGAGCCTTGTGCATCGGTGCAGAGATGTGGTAGGTCACTGAGCTAGCCACCAGGGCTGATCCAACTTCGCTGGTAAGTGCTGCCTTCAGATCGAGAAATACTGCTATTGTCGAGTGTTGGTAGGTGTATATGTGTTCCAGAGCCTGGAGGGATGTGAATATCTGGTCTATACAGCCACCGCCAGGTCTGAAACCTGCCTGGTTTCCTCAAGCTTCTTGTTCTCGAGCTCTTCTCAGGTGTCTAATGATTATAAAACCTACGATCTTGGACCTTATATTCATCAGGCTGATTCCTCCGTGGTTATCACAAGAGGACTTCTCGCCTTTCCTGAAGATTGGGATAATCAGTCATTGAGACCAGTCAGAGGAGATCATATTTGACTCCCATTCACTAGTTAGTACTTAAGTTAACTTGACTGAAATCACCAAGTCATCGTCCTTACATACCTCAGGAACTGGTCCGTCTAGTCCTGTTGCATCTCCTCGTTTCAAGTTACTTATAGCTTTCTCGACTTCTGCAAGTGTTGGGGGGGGGGGGCTATATAAATGTTCCACTCAGGATCCGACTGAATAGCTGGCAACGCAATTGTAGCTGGAGTCCAGTTAAACTGTTCCTTGGAGTATCCTGCCAATCGTTCCAGTCGTCACCCTTACGAGTGAATCACAGACCCATCCTTCTCCAATATAGTGTCACTAACCGCTGGCGTCTTCGCCCCAGTTTCCTTAATAAATCTAAATAATTGTCTGCTGTTACCTATCGCCTCTGCCTTTTCCATCTCTTTAGCCTTCGCTGCCCACTACTGTCCGAGGTCATTGCGTAGACTTTTTGTCAGTTTACTTTTGAGTTGCATTTGCTCCTCAATGTACTCAGCCCGCAGGAATGTGTTCGCGTGCATCTATTAATTCGGAAGAAGCTGCTTAGACCCACTTGCTCTTTCTAAGCTCTTTCTAAGAGTCGGCTATGGTTTTGAACTCTGTTTGTACAGCAGACTGGAGATGGTGCCAAGCTTCTTCTGGACGAGTGATAGTGCTTTGTTCCAATAACTGGATAGCCGGTTTCTCACTGAGAGTGGTCCTAGTGCTCCCATTGTTGAGCTGCACTTGTAATGGTCTGGTTACTTTAGTTTTTCTACGTCCATTGAGACGCAGACATCTTCGTGCTCAAACCAGAGCGTGGTGACTGTCCAAACATGTGCTGTAGAAGGAACGGCAGCCTTCTACCGATCGTCTCTAGCTATGACTGATAGAAATGTGGTTTATCTGTGTTGATAGCTGAGTTGAGCTTTTTGGATGCCAGGTCAGACAATGTCTTCCTTTGTATCCTAATTTGATGCTAGCTAGAAATGAACACAGTCTTAGTAGGCGACCGTCGTTATCTCTCCGTCCAGCCAGGATTCAGAAACTAGCAGCTATATGCCTTTCTACCTGACTGGGCTTACCCACTTTCGCATTGAGATCACCTGTAACCACGTGCGAACCTTCGGTTTTCAGAGGGAGGTTAAACAGTTTCCGGTAGAACTCATCTTTCACTTCGTCTGAACTGCAGTCAGCAGGTGCGTAAGTAGAGATCACAAAGAGACAACGGGTTTCACTGTTACTTTTAGCTCTCACCATGTTGTTCAGCCGGACAGAGCATAGACGACTGTCAACTGGGATCCAGTCTAGAAGTTGGTTTTCTGCTTTACTGCTTAACGTTATGCATACAGCTGCAAGACCACGAGAACTAGTCATCGGATTTCCAGAAACTAGATGGTTGAATTCTGCGGATTCACCATATTTGACCGGGAGTGGTTAAGTGAATAACTGCAATTGGGTCCTGTATCAGTGTCTTACAAACACAGCACACATCCATGGGCCGAGTTGCTAGAGTTTTGTCCATTGAAGCTTGTTGACTAACTTAATGGAGTGTGTAGACATTAAAGGCTCCAATGTATAATTTGGAGCTTGGTTTAAGGAGACCAATGATACTGTTCTGTGGAATCAGATCAATCTTCTTGAGGTATTTGAGAAAGAAGGGTTAGTGCGTAACTGCGGAGCCCAAGGGCTCTCTGCTTGAAGCCGGTCACGTACAGCCGTTTTTATGTCACGACAATTGACTTGTATAGTGGAAGATGTAGTCGGACATATGTCCTGTGGTTTTGGATCACCACTGGTGACTGATCTAAGCCATCATAATGCATCATTTACAGATATGTTAGGGTGAGGATAACTACTTTTTGTCTAACCACTATCCAACAGATCTTTCTGGTATGGTAGGACCTCGAGGGAACAAACGTTCCACCACCATAGCTCCTTAAGTCATCGTGATGCACAAGCCTGACCACCACGTTAAGATAGCAGCTATCGGTCAGGTACCAAAGTAGGTTTGAAGATAAAACGTAGAGAAGTAGGGAAGAAAGTAGTCAAAGTGGTGTAAAGTCGTTAGAAGAGGAAAAGAAAGAGCAAAAGAATAGTTGAGTCTGGTATGACGAATGGGAGTAATATGCGCGTGCTTCTGCATCAACCCCTAGCTCCTATCGTGACGTTTGGTTTGATTTATATATCGCGGTGACCCAAAAGCTACGCTTTCTAGAACGCTTGTTGATTGAAGTCGTACAATGCCAGAAATATCTGTCGACTAGTGTCCAGGCAAAAAGCAGTGGCCGTTTCAATTTAAGTAGATACGTTGGGATAGTAAAAAATCTCTTGCAATGATTGTGAGGTCAAATACATAGGTCAAAGTGGTCGACCAGGGTCGATTAGAATAATAGAGGACAAGATTATTAGATTCTGATAAGATAGGAAATTTAGAGAAAAGCTCAGCTATAGTTCTGCACTCAATTACGCACAATCACACAGTAGGGTGGGATAGGGCGACAGTGTTAAAAACTAACTTACTTGGGTGGAGAGAAGGAGAGATTGATAACTGAATTTTCGTTTCGCGAATCAACACCAAATACATGCAGTAATAGAAATGATTCTGCATCTGTTGTAGATGTATGGAAAATTCTACTAACCTTGTCATCACAGAGAAGGAGAGAAAATTAGAAATATATAAAGTGTCTCAAAGTTGTGGAGTTACCTGATATGAATATAGGACAAAAAGGTATGTCCGAAATGTTATCCAGTAAATGCTACTGTTTCACTGTGTGACATTTCCACTAAGCGGACTAAAATGGAATTACAATCTACCACATTGGCCAAGTTCTACTCCTATATCATGGAAACCTGGTCTATATGTTTAAAGTTACATATAATCAGAGTTGTAATCATGTGTCAGCACATTATTTCTTAGAACTCTTGAATATGGTGATTGCCGTTGACACTGAGATTTCGTTGACTAATACACTCCAAGAGTCTTTTTAAAGTCGGCTATCACGCTGTAAGACTTTTTATGGATTAGTCTGTGATCTAGACCCTACACATTTAATACCTACGCTTCTACTAGGCACTAAACAAAGAAATAGAACCTGGTACAATTGTGCATGCAGTTTGATTGCCACACCTCAGGTAGACATGGCAATGAAAAAGGAGCAAAGGGGTGAATTTATCAATCACTGAGTGAAATGACTAGCAAAAATGGTTAGTAGAATAGGCATGAAATTGTTCAACATGGTTTATTAGTGTTAGGGTGGAGTATGAATGAATTTTTACTACTACTATTACTATCTGTTTTCAGTTGAACATCAGTTTCTTTTGTCATGTAGATTTGGATTAAGATATCCAATGTTCTGTTTAGCTTAAGTTTATGGTGTGTTATGTGCTGTGGACGCTTTTAGACTTAAATACAATTGGAATCTGGGCACTATAAGAGATTATAATTCAGTTTTACTTATCTATAGCAGTGAAATATTATTACTTTCTGGATGACTTCTTGAGTAGGTGTAATCATATCGAGATGATGTATGCTGATGTGATTCTGAGAAGTAAATTGTGCCCGAAACGTCATCCGTCACATAATATTGTCTCATTGTGTGATGTATACATAACCTAACATTGAGCTTTCATTACTTGTTCCATTGTATTACTGTTAACATTATTTATTATTATTATTAGTCCCTTGGGTTCCTAGTGGAACATAGGGCTTCAGTAGCACGCCTCCAGTGACCTCTGTTCTCTGAGATCTTTTGAACCTGGTTCCACGACAGCCCAGAAGCTCTCATTTCCTCCTCGCACGACCTCCTCCATGTCACCCTCGGACGTCCAACTCGTCGCTTCCCATGGGGATTCCACTCGAGGGCCTGACGCGTGATGTCCTCAGTCGGCCTTCTCAGTGTATGCCCAATCCATCTCCACTTCTTCCTGCATATTTGTTGCGTGATAGGTTCTTGGTTGGTTCGTTCCCAGAGTTCCTTGTTGCTTATTTTTTCTGGCCATCTGATCTTCAGCAGCGAGCGTAAGCAGTTGTTGATGAATGTCTGTAGTTTATTGGAAATGCCTTTCGTGACGCGCCAAGTCTCTGAGCCATACAAGAGCACTGACTTGACGTTGGTGTTGAAAATCCGTATCTTGTTCCGCATGCTGAGTGCAGAAGATCTCCACACTGGTTTCAGGCTAATGAATGCCTGTCTTGCTTTTCCGATTCTGACTTTGACGTCCTCGTCCGTCCCGCCTGTAGTTGAAACAGTGCTTCCTAGATAAGTGAAGGAGGTTACTTCCTTCAAGTTTCTCCGTTGACGGTGATTGGAGTTTGTTGTTGTTGTTGATGGTGGTGGTGCGGTATCTTCATCACTTCTGTCTTCTCTATATTCACCTGAAGTCCCGTCTTAGCTGCCTCCTCTGTCAACTTGTTAGTTTTTGCCTGCAGATCTTCAAGTTTATGTGACATTAGGCATAAGTCATCGGCGAAATCCAAGTCTTCTAGGTTCTTTTCCGTCGTCCAGTGTATCCCCCTCTTCTCGCTGCCTACTGTTTGCTGCATGATCCAGTCCACCACAATAGGAATATCATGGGGGATAGTAGGCAACCTTGTTTCACTCCTGTCTTCACTTCAAAGGCATCACTGAGCTTCCCATTGTGGATTACTTGGCATGTGGCATCTTCATATAGTTGTTGAATGAGGCGGATAAAGGTTTGCGGTACTCCGTAGTATTGAAGCAGTTTCCAAATTACTTCTCGGTCGACGCTGTCAAAGGCCTTCTCAAAGTCGATGAAGTGAGGTATAGAGCTGATTGCCATTCTACGCTCTGTTCTATGATGATACGAAGCGTTGCAATTTGGTCAGCACATGATTTGTACTTCCTGAAGCCTGCCTGTTCCGGTCGCAGTTTTGAATCCAGTGCGTCTTTAAGCCTCTCCAGGATGATGCGGCTTAATATTTTACTTGGGGTGGATAGGAGAGTGATTCCGCGCCAGTTCTTGCAAGCACTGAGGTCTCCCTTCTTCGGCAGTTTGACAAGGTAACCCTTCTTCCAATCGTCAGGTACCTTCTCTTCCCTCCACACCTTCTGCAATAGTGGTGTGAGCATGTCCGCTGTTGTCTCTGCATCTGTTCTCAGTGCTTCTGGCGGTATTCCATCTGGTCCTGCTGCTTTCCCGCATTTCAGTAGCTTTATGGCGTTCAGGACTTCCATTTTCGTTGGGGGATTTATGTTCACTTGTAATTCAGCGGCTGCAGGTGGTATTTCTGGACGAAGTGCAGGTGGTGGTCGATTCAAGAGCTTCTTGAAGTGGTCGGCCCATCGTTTCCTCTGTTTCTCTTCTTTTGTAATTAAATTTCCTTCTTCATCTTTTATTGGTTTCATCTGTGTTGGTCTCTTCCCTGATAGCAACCTGGTTATTTGATACAATGTCGTCAGGTCTCTCTTACCTGCAGCCTGTTCTGCTTCACTTGCCAGTGTGTCGTAGAAGTGTCGTTTGTCTTTGCGTGCACTCTTCTTCACTTCTTTATCCAGTGTTTTATACATTGTGCTCAGTTCCTCTTGTCGTTGAGCATCCTTGCACTGGTTTATCTTCTGCTTCACCATCCTCCTCTCCTCTATCAGCTTCCAGGTATCCGTCGAGATCCATTCCTTGTCTTCTTTCTTCTTCCTTCCTAATACTGTTGTGCAGGTTTCTTTCCACATAGCTTTCAAAGACTTCCAGTGTTCTTCTACACAGGTTTCTTCAGGGATGTCCCTCGACGTCTCCCATTTTGTCTTGATGGCTGCTTTGAAGATCTCCTTTGTAGTTTCATCCTTCAGTTTCCGAGTGTTGTACTTGAATTGAGGTCTATCACCAGCTTCCTTGAAGGCTTTTAACTTGATTTGGAAGGTTCTTGCACTAGATAGTGGTCTGAACCTACATCTGCTCCTCTTCTTGACCTTGTGTTAAGTAGACTGCGTCTCCATTTTCTTGAGATTGAGATAAAGTCGATTTTTTTTAGTGTGTCCATCTGGTGAAATCCATGTCGCTTTGTGGATATCCTTGTGCCTGAACACACTGCCTCCAATCACCAAATCGTTGAATGCACAGAATTCTGCAAACAATTCTCCATTCTCATTCATTTCACCTAGCGCCTCTCGACCCATGGTTAGTTCTCTTCCCGTGTTGTCCCCTCCCAGTTTGGCATTCATGTCGCCCATTAGAATTTTGATATCGCCAACTGACGTCTTGTCCAGTGTTGACTGAAGTTGTCTGTAGAATTCCTCCTTTTTCTCTTGCTCTGCATTATTTGTAGGTGCATAACATTGTATGATTGTGACCTTTCTTCCTTTTGAGTTGAATCTTGCTGCATGATCCTGGAGGAATTGGTTCCCACTGCATGAGAGCCTTCGATGCTCTTGAGGACATCATGATAGCCACTCCCTCAGTGTGCTCGTGGTTGCGTCTGGGTGACCGGAGTAGATTATTGATCTCGTTGACAGTTTGGAGAGTCCACTCCCATTCCATCTGCTTTCGCAAATCCCAAGCACTTCGATGTTATACCTTCTCATCTCCTTTGCAATCTGGGCTGCCTTACTGGGTTCAAACATCGTGCGGACATTCCATGTCCCCACGTTTACTTTCGCTTTCATCGAGAGAACACATCGGCCAATTGGCTTCCCGAAGGCTTTCACCAACTGGCGTCATTTCGCCTCTCCGATTCCAGCGGGGAATAAGTTTGTTTTCATTTTTTATATTTTGTTTGTGCTTTGAAGTTTCTTTAGCGGTTAGATTTGTTTTACGGGGTAGGGTTGCTAGCCCTATGCCCAACCTTCCCTCTTTACCCGGGCTTAGGACCGGCTAGTAACTAGTAACTAGTTAACCAGGCGAGGTTACTGTTAACATGACGAATAAAATTTGAGCTTTGTAGTAAGGCAATATCTAGTTTCCTACTTGATTTACGGTTAGTTTATTTTGAAAGTATCTTAATTCATTGCGTAACAAATCATATTTACACTGAATTCTATACTGTAGAAAACTTCAGTTGTCGTCAGATTTGCATAAATCAAAGTTGTGGTATCATATCCTGCCTAATCGACTTGATTCGTTCATCAGCTTACATAGAGGTAGTCGAAAGGCTAAAGTAGTCACTGCCTCATCTCTTCGTTTAATAAGAGCAATGGATAGACTTCGAGGATTGTTACGAGGATTAAACGACAAGCTTCCCTTGAACATTACTGGAATTCTACCTTTATCATCTGCTTTTCGAGATACTGCAGTTTTCCCACCCATACTATCAGTTCCTGTAGCTGACCGGTCAGTTTACGGAGCAAAACAAAATTCAAAAGAGAGACAGTATTGTACAGCGAAATGGATTTTTGAAAATTTACATTTTCCAATGTTCCCGCTTTACGGTAAGTGGAAGTAACCATAATTATATGTTCAGTTGAATTTTCTACTCAACTCTGCTCCACCTATATCTAATAGCTTGTGATACATATTTGGGAGATTAAGTTATGCACGATTTATATCTACCTTGAGGAGTGTCAACTAAAGTTCCGACACATGTACAACTGATACATACTGTGTAAACGTTTCTACTACCCAATTGCGAGACTTTACCTATTGACGGTAGATGGAATAAAGAATATTTCAGTTATTTACTTCCGTATGATATAATATGATCTCCAGTTTAAAGAATAGACAGTATTAAAGTCTAAATAACCTTCAGCAAAGGATTTAAAAGAGCCGACGCATCTCTGCTTACTCACTCAGCCGTCTTGTGCACATCTTTGCAGTAGGCACTAAGTCGCAACTATTGTGTGAGGGCTATTGATACTACCTGGCTGCTCAAACCTCGTTAGGTGAATCTAAGCTCGAACCCGTAATTCAGTAGTGGATAACCATCTCCCTAGACCAGTGACCCACGGTTCAACATGCATCTCTTCTAGAATTAATGAATTCACGGAAAGTAATACCTATTGACTCCAACCAAGCACAACGAGAAAGTAAAGCAGCCTAAATATAGACTGATCGATGAGTTAAGTATTATGTCCTGTTTGTCAATACTAAGACTGGATAAGAAGTGAAGGAGCAAATAATCTGTAGAAAGTAAACACAAAATGAAGTTCAAACCAGGTCAGTATTAGTTAATTTATTGCGATCATTGGAGTAGACTTCCACAGCTGAAGCAACTTATTGGTCAGGCAAGTAGCCGGACATACTAGTAAATGTGACTTTAGTTCGTCTTCTGCATTGCTAGAGGGTTGTTTCGGTCTATGTTTTTGTCAGTCTTTCGTTAATGAAAATCTTTTTAAATTTCCATACTGTTTTCTTGTTTTACTTTTCAAGTTGTTATTCACCTGGAACAATCTGGAAGATGGCCAAATGACTTAGACGCATTCAGACATATGAAACGATTACTAGTTATTCGTATACATGAATTATTATCACCCAAAGGAATTCCATCGCATGTTACTGTGGATAGTGCACTGGATATATTTCTTGTAAGTAATGTCATGTTGGAAATAATTTACTTTTCATTCTCAAACATACATTTACATAGCTACATACTATGGTAATATAATGTTTCATTATTATTATTATTATTATTATTAGTCCCTTGGGTTCCTAGTGGAACACAGGGCTTCAGTAGCACGTCCCCAGTGACCTCTGTTCTCTGAGATCTTTTGAACCTGGTTCCACGACAGCCTACAAGCTCTCATTTCCTCGTCGCACGACCTCCTCCATGTCGCCCTCGGACGTCCAACTCGTCGCTTCCCATGGGGATTCCACTCGAGCAACTGGCCTGACGCGTGATGTCCTCAGTCGACCTTCTCAGTGCATGGCCAATCCATCTCCACTTCCTCCTGCATATTTGTTGAGCGACAGGTTCTTGGTTGGTTCGTTCCCAGAGCTCCTTGTTGCTTATTCTTTCTGGCCATCTGATCTTCAGTAACGAGTCAGCGTAAGCAGTTGTTGATGAATGTCTGTAGTTTATTGGAAATGCCTTTCGTGACGCGCCAAGTCTCTGAACCATACAGAAGCACTGACTTGACGTTGGTGTTGAAAATCCGGATGTTGTTCCACATGCTGAGTGCAGAAGATCTCCACACTTAATGTTTCATAGAATACTATAAAATACTATTTTCATCATTATTGGATTATTGTTTACTGTATTACGTTTCGGACATAACTTATTGTCCATAGTCATATCGAGATAACTATACGACTTTAAGATACCCTTTATATAGTCCTGATTTTTCTCGTCTCTCTGTGAGGTGGGCAGTAAGGTTTTCCATATATCCGGAACATGTGCTGAGTCATTCCTGTTGCATGTGTTAGGTGTTGATTCGATAAACAAAGATTCAGTTACCAATCTCTCCCTCCATCCTGTTATGTTAGTTTTAAGAATTTTCACCCTGTCCTATCCTATTGTGTGGTTGGATTATGTTCATGAATCGACGGTCATGCTTATAACATGAATTTTGGTGTCAATCGAAGTGTTTGATGAATTCGACCATAGTGAAGCTTGACACGAGTTATGAATCTAGAGCTGTGGCTCATTAATTAAGGGAGTTGACATTCAACCAACCGGTTACGGGTTCTGACTATGCTCCATTTATCAAGGTTTAGGCAGCCAGGTAGAACTAGTAACCTTTATACAATAGATGTGACTCTCTACAAACTGCATGAAGAGGTATAAGGTTACTGAGTACACTTGGATTGAATTCAATACTCATAAAGTAGCATGAGGTAGAAGGACCGGTAGACGTGGTGTAAGAGATGATAAATCGATAATTGCAGAATAATTTGTAAAAGATAAGTTAGGTGCTTCTGGATTGTGGTTCAATATTTATTTGTATGATCTAGTAATGAAGTGTGTATCCATTCTATGTTTCTAATCTGTTTGGGATCCATAATTGTGAATAGAGGTGTTATCTCCGAGCTGTTCCTCTACAACTGCTGTTCTTTTCGTAGATATACAAATGATCACGAGGTGACAAGGTTTCAAGTTGTTTTCAACTATTTTATACGGTAACCAGTAGCCTAGCTTAGTCCGAAAATGACCACCAGGTAACTAATTTATATATATAAGTCAGTCCTACAGGGGATCACTTGTGGTCTGAATAGCCAACTTTGACGCTGAATGACACATTCAAAGCTTTTAGAAGACGTGGGTTTCCTCAAGACTGTAAGCAAGTTCTATCGAACAAAAATAGACTAAATTCCGAGCTTCCTACTAATTGGCTGTAAACATCTTATATCACTATTTTTTGGCACCTAGATGTATGAAACTTGATTGATGAGATAAAGTCACAGCTTTAATGCAGGTGATATAGGTCTGAAATTCAGTCGCTGTATTCAGTCGTCTTGTATGTTTAGCGTTGAGTGAGTATGCAGCTTTCGGTCGTGAAACTGTATCACTTTTTATGTAAGTGGAGCTGTGGCTCATTGGTTTAGGGAGATGACTTTCAACCGATGGGCCACTCCACTTACCAAGGCTTTAGCAGCCAGTTAGTATCACTAAGCCTCACACAATAGGTGTAGCTCATCGCCATCACTATCATCTTGTTGGTGGTTAGTTTAGCTCAGATTGTACATAAAATGGTTTGGTCTTTCCTCAAGAATCGAGGCATGGTACGTTGTTTTGAACTGACAACCTTTAATCGCTAGATCATACTTATGCACTTTACTTCACCTAATTACGCAATAATTGTGACACAACTTAGTACCAGCGTAGTATATATTGCTGGTAAAAAAACGCATCTGACTAATATGTAGTGTGGGGTCACAAGAAGAGAGAGAGAGAGAGAGAATGGAACGGAGGAATCTGAAGGAGAACTCACTCAGAAGACGAATATAAATAATCTCTGCAGAAATAAATTCATTATCAGGCTGTAACACTCTATCAACACTGAATGTGATTTACCTAATAAACAGCCAGCTGTTATTGCTTTCATCGCAAGCCCCGTCATATGGTTTCAAAGTTTCACTACTCCCATAACTTACCAGTAAAATCTGCAAAATAAAATATTATGAATGATTAGTGTAGTATGATTATCCCTTGTGTACTGAATTTCACCTTTCAATACAATCAGTTACAGATGATCAAGAGAATCTTTTACAAATCTTATCAAAGTGTTGGATGCGTGAAGTTTAGAAAAAATGCAACAATACCAAGTTGTTGGTGAGACTATCTGAGACAGTCTAAGTTTGACACTTGTCAGACTGACTGTTCAGTCATGTTATCGACGAACGTTGCATTCGCCCACTACCTGAAAAGGTACAGGCGATTCAGGATTTTCCTGTACCAATGTCATTTAAAGCACTGCGTACTTCCCTGGGAATAATGAACTATTATCGCCGCATTGTCCCTCAGTGTGCACACATTTCAACCTGTTAAAAAGTGGGTGTAAAACTTTCAGCATGACTCCCAAGGCTTTAGAAGCATTTCGCAAGATCAAAACCTCAATAGGAGATGCCATAATGTTGGTCCACCAGAATATTAACCTTCTTAGCATTATTGTTGATGCCTCTAACATGGCTATTGAAGCTGTGTTGCAACAACTTTTGTATCACACTTGAACAAATTGGACTTTCTGATTCAATAATGATTAAAGCCCAGGTCTCATTGGAATTCCAACTAACTGGTTGTCACAGAAATCTCCTCCTTTATCTATTCTTCTCTACTGTAGTAGAGTTTCATCACATTTTTAAATTATCCAAAAGTCTTCTGAAGATACACTTAAGTTTTATTCGAAAAACCGTTGAATTGACGTGTTTTTTTCATCTGAAGAATATTAGATTGGCTTTTGCCAATTTGCGCCATCTATGGCGCCGCCGTGATATTCGTTTGTCTATTAAGGGTCGCGTGTACTGCACAACAGTCCGCTCTGTTCTACTGTATGGCTGTGAAACATGGCCATTGAAAGTGGAGGATACAAAAAAACTTCAGGTGTTTGACCACCGTTGCCTTCGTAGTATAGGACGTATTCCTTGGTGTCACCATGTGAGTAATGCAGAAGTTAGGTGTAGAGTTTTGGGGAGAAGAGGTAAGTCAGTCGACGAGGTTGTGGACCTTCATCGAGTGAGATGGTTGGGACACGTACTACGTATGCCTAGTCACCGATTGCCTCTTCACACAATGTTGGCCGAGGTGGGTCCAGGTTGAAAGAAAGGCTCGAGGTGGCCAGACTAAAACATGGCACCAATGTATGAAGTTTCTGACTTGGTTTAAGCCGATGTCAGTTGTGCAGATGTATACACACATTATCCTCATCATTATCCTCATCTTAACGACGCTATACCGAATCTCACCATTTTGTCACTCCTCTTTCCTTTCTTCTCGTACTTTATATTTCTTTTGACTGCATTCACTTATCTTCATCCTTCACCTCACTACCTTTTTACTTGATGGACTGACGTGAGGTGTGGCAACTCGGACCGTTACGCAGTAATGCCTGGTCCTATGTTGATAATGATGATGATGATGAGATTGAGACGAAACAGTTGTTTCCAGTACTTCTTACTTTGTTCATCATTAAAAAACGATGAATATCAGCTTCATTTGCATTTCTCTTATATGCATAAGGGATATATTTTAAGCATTTAATTCATTCTTTTCCACTAATGATGATATCAGCTTTATGCTATAAACTATAATGTTGTTTATTTTTCCATTTGCATTACAGGATGGATTGATATTTCGAGTCTTGATATCGCTATCAAAAGAGCTTAATTTAATTCAGAAACTAACTGATTCTCAACAAGTTGAAAAAGATATCCCGAGTAAACAGTCGTCAGAAAGTGATATGATTGGTTTATTGTCTACTGAAGTGGTTAGTACAGAGACAGTTAACTGGATTCGTTTACATCAAAGTCTACCAACATTGGCTGGTACATTAGCTGGTGTTTCACGTACTTATCCGCATGTTTTCCCAATAGCCTGTCGACTTGCAAAACGTTGGTTATCAGCTCATGGATATCCAGTGATTTTGTGCCCATATGAATGTGAATTAGATGGTCTACGTAATTCCTCTGATTTTTTTCCACAGCCTGAAGAGTGTTCCTCAGCATTGTCAAGTTGTTGGCTTAAAGAAGATATGACTACGAGTACTAATAATGGACGTATGGCTGAGGTGACTGTTGAACTATTAGTTCTTTATGCATCTAAACTATGTGATTCTATTGCTTTGGATTCGAATGAATGTAATCTTGCTGTAATTGGATCACCTGTTGCTGCATTTCTACGCTTTCTTGACTTGTTAGCTATACATGATTGGGAAAATGTTCCACTTTTAGTTGATTTAAACGAAGGATTTTCTGGTAGGTTGTTAAAAATTCTTTCTTTTTTTTGTTATTTCTGGCCGATTTTCAGTCATGTCACCAACGGTCCTTAACCACTGATTCCTATCATCTCGGCGACCCCAGCCAAGTAGTCTACACCTCTATATACAACTCAGACTAACAGTCAGAGACTTCATGGAGTGGTACTACGTGTTAGTCTAGCCACTCTGAGCTATCTGTTAACCTAATTTAATATCTCTTAACATGACACGTCAAAGTAGGTGGTGGCTGGGCATGCATAGTACGTGTCCAAGCCATCTCAGTCACTAAGGTTCACAAGCTGGTCAATCGACTTTCCTGTTTTGTCTACTACTCTTCTTCTGACCTCGGCATTTCTTACACCCTCTGATTTCAACAAACTCAAGTAACGCTTGATATCTTCTGCCTTTCATGGCCATGTCTCGCAGCAGTATATAGCGGGACAGAACGGATAACAAAACTAAGATGTGAAAACACTAGTTCATCATGCTAATAAATTACTCAAATTAAGGTAGGTGAATTGGAGCTTGAATCCATCACTGCCCGGAGTTAATCGCTCAAACTTCTGTGACATACTCAGCTCCAAGAGATACATATTTATTCATTATTTCACAATCCAAAAGCTATGACTTAATGCATTACGGTTTAAAGCATATCTCTTGTATTAAGGTTAGCGTTATCATGTGGCTATCTTAAACCCTGGTGAGTGATGTGAGACCAGATTCTAGGACCAGTTTATTGCAATTTGTATCCCTAGGTTAATAAGTCTTCAGTGTGATATAGTTAGATAAGCGAAAATGTTCGTTCACTCGTAGTAATGAGCAGTGAGTCATTTCGCTTTCTATGTACTAGCCTAGATTGTCGTGTTACCACTAAGTCGGTAACGTAGAAGTCAACTGACGACTTTTTATGTAGAAGAGATAAGTCAGAGTTAACTGTCATCGTCTCATGTAGCTGGCATATGTGTTATACGCATACTTAGTCACCTAGTCCACTGTCTTCTCCGTCACTAAATGCTTGCTGAAGTAGTTTTAGACAGGGAATAGGTTGGAGGTGGTAAGACTAAAGCATGAAATCAGTTCATGAAGTTTTTGACTGTTTATGTTAGACGTATAGGGAAATGTAAACTTCCTATTTGGGGCCCACGTGACAACGGAAATCGGTGTTTAGAGACTCCAAGTCATATTGACTGACTGACAAAATCAACGTAGAACCTCGTACACAGATACATCGGCTCAAGTTGTCACATGTCATGGCAGTATACAAAAAACAGTGGATAGAATAAGACTGATATCAAGCAAGATAAAGTAATGGGAGAGAGTAAACAATCTAAAGATAAAGGTTAGTGCAAAATATCCAAGCTTTAGAGCACGTCAATGAGTGAATACATCTGCACCATTGTGATTTGACCTCCTCCGATAACACTGACTGTTTCAATTCTGAAATACTTTTATATTATGTCCTACATGGTTTATTGTGTTTCACCTATATTCATGGATTTACGCCTGTAGAGCCTGAAGAGGAAGGTATTGAAAACAATTCTTCTTTCAAGTTATTCTTTATATATTATAGATGTGTCTCATATCATGGTACACAGACCTATACCGAGTCATTGATTCTCTGTGGTGGTATTACTGTTTTAGTAGTTTTAAGATTTGGCGGGGGTTGCTAGGGTGTGGAAAGCAAGTCAGTTGATAAAGTTGTGGACCTGCACCGACTGAGGTGACTTGGATATATGTTGTGTATACCGAACCATCACCCACCTTGACGTGCAATGTTAACCACAATAGGATTGAGTTAGAAAAAGGCTAAATATGATCAGCCTAAGAAGTCTAAGTTGTGTTGGAAGGTAATACACTACCTAGTTGAGGTCCCCGAGACAATGGAAACCAGTGGTTGAGGTAAGTTATGAACCTTCATCGACTGAGGTGGGCTGGACATGTATTACGTATACCGATCCAACGCCTACCTTGATGTGCCATACTAATAGGAGGTGTATTAGGTGGAGAGAAGGTTCAAAGTGACCAGATCAAAACATGGCACCACTCCATAAGGTCTGAGCCACGTGAGGGGACATGTAGACTACCTGGTTGAGGTCTCTGAGATGATAGATATCGGTGGTTGAGGACTCTTGGTGACTTGGCTGAAGATGGTCACTCCTTGACATTTAAAGCTTGAATATTCTCACTAACCGTCATCTCCAAATTGTTCATTTTCTCACACAACTTTTTCTAGTTTGACATCAGTCCTTTTGTATCTTGTTCTGTATGTACTAGCGCGAAGTGTGGCAACTTAAGGTGATAATGCACTTCTATGCGATATTCTGTCTTTATTTGTCTGTCTGTCACTGGTTGTCAATATACAACAGTACTCACAACAGTGCAAAGTCTGCATTGTCTCATATTATTTGAATTGTTAGAGGGATTTGTAGGCAATTTTACATATCAGTATCCATACTGAAGTAATTCTATTCTATTTACCTTTTATTATCATGTGAAGAGTCAATAAATGTTGTTTTGGAATGTGTTTTGTTCTGGTTAGTGTAAGTTGAGATTATAGAATCGTTATGCACATTTATTCATTAGTTCAATATTAAAAAGTGAAGTTATTCACCATATTCATCATTTTCTTTCAATATCACGTTCCATTGGATTGACCAAGTCTCTCAGCATAGATATATGAATCCGGGATGGAATTCTCTAGTTTTCATCTATATAAGATATATTTAACACATAGGGATAATTTACTGAGCAACAGTTCACTCTTCTTTCTATTGTCTAGATATGATATATTATTGTTGAAGTTAAGTGAATTATCACCTACATCTATCTCTAAAATTTCATTCAAGCAGGGTATAGAAAATTTTAAGTTAATCTTTATCATAAGCTGATATCATTCACTCTTGGTTTCAGTTATGTGAAGGACTGTTAAGGTTTACAAAATTTTCCAAACCAAGTGACAGAAAAATAATTAATCGATTTGGTTTAAGTATGACTAAAATAATGTGGATGCATTGTATTATATATCTTCCATCAATCTTTTAGCCTTTAAATTATTCTATACTTCAATTGATCACTAACTGATATCAGTTGGAGAACCGTTGAAGAGACTTGGGACTACTGAACAGTTCTAATATGGGACTTTTCAACAGTATGCACCCACAACGCCACTTGGTCTCGCGGAGTTCCATACTGTAGAGTTCATCATATTACATTCTTTTTGATGATATATTTCCTTCTTCTTCTTCTTTTTTTACATAGACATTAATAAACGTCGTTCAGCATTGGATTCATTTAATCATACACCGAGGTGTAATTTACCTGCTTTAGTCATTTACACTCCATTAGATCTGACTGGAATACAATGGACTGAAATAGGACCGAGTCGAACAGGTCTAAGGGAATTGAAAACGATTGCAGCTCAATCACGTGACTTACTCAGAGCTATGCTTGTTAGCGGTGCAACTATAGATGATATAATGGTAAGTAATCAATTAAATAAGTCAGTAAGTAAACTGATTTTATTTTTCTGCATTTTTTTGAAGGTAATTTGTTAGGGAATATGAGGTAGTATTGATCACGATAACTAACGAACAAATCTTTGACCATTGATAAATACCTCCTGTTATGAAAACTTCTAAGAAAGATTCACTCTAATCTCGAAGCCGACTGCTGTAGATCATGTGAGATTTTAGCCATGTCACCAGGAGTCCTCAACCGCTCATTCCTATCGTTTCCGTGACCACAACCATGTAATCTACATCTTCTCTCACGTGGCTCAGACCAACAGTCAGAGACTTTGTGAAGTGGTGCCGTGTGTTGGTCTGACCATCGTGAACCTTCTCTCAACCTAATGCAATTTCCGTTAGCACCGTAGCCTGATCGGTCGACTTGCATTTCTTGTGTGGTATCCTTCTGCTAACTTCAACATTCTTCATACTGTGATCACGTTAAACGCAGGCAGTGTTACGAAGACACATATGATCAAAACCATATGACTGCTTCATGTCTACTACTTTTCACGGTCATGTTTCACAACCGTACAGGAGAAGAGGAAGGCCTGCAATGCAGTATGCTCATCGTTTGTTAGATAGCCGAATTTGTTGCCAGTCTGGACCACAAGTGATGCAACATGACAAATGCCAAACGGGTCTGTTGTATCCCAACGGAGATTTCGTTAACCCGTTACCCGGGTTGATGAGACTCTCCAAGTAAGTGAACTGGTCAACGTATTCCACCACTTCACATCATATCAAAAATTAACGTTATCGCGAGTAGCAAAAATTAGCTATGCATAAGAGATGAAAAAACGCGCGACCAAAAGGAATTCAAACTTTACCAAATACTTTGGTACTTTGAGATTTAAAATCTTCAAGAAGTAGTCCAGTTTTAAATACGACTGAAAGTGGACTGTGCATTTTGGAGAATATCTACCAACACGACTATTTGTTTGGTTGTTTACAACTTCATCATGCTGTTCACAACTTGTACCAATGTTAGTAGTTCAGCTAGAATGTTACATTTTTTTGATGGACAGTGAAGTGTGACATCAGCTAATATGCATGAAAGACCACTTGTTTACCTATTTTGGAACTGAATCACTGATACTTCCATTTCAGTCTGTTTATAATAAATGTCACACACAGTAAACAAACAGTATCATTTACTGGATAACGTTTCGGACACAATCTATTGTCAATATTCATATCAGGTAAGTAACTCCACAACTTTGAGACAGACTTTATATATTCCTAATTCCCTCTCCTCTGTGGTTACAAGGGTGGGAGAATTTTCCATATATGTGGAACAGGCACAGAATCATTTCTATAACTGCATGTGTTTGGGCTTGACTCGATAAACAAATATTCAGTTATCAATCTCTCCTTCTCTCCACCCAAGTAAGTTAGTTTTTAATACTGTCGCTCTATCCCACCCTATTGTGTGATTGTGTGTAATTGCATGCAGAGCTGTAGCCGAGCTTTTCTCTAAATTTCTTATCTTATTAGTATCTACTAATCTTGATTTAGGTAAGTTTTTCTGTTTTGTTATTCTAATTGGCCCTGGTTAACTACTTTGACCTATGTATTTCACATCGCAATCATTGCAAGGGATTTGGTAAGGTAAATTGTAGTATTTCTCATGGACTGATATCAGCTGGGGAACCATGAAAGGTCTGCGAGCACTGAACAACTGTCTCGTCCTAGTGTGGGTCTCCTCAGCAGTACGCTCCCACGACCCGACCAGGGGTCGAACTCAAGACCTTCAGGTCTTGCGGCGAAGGCGTCAACGATTCAGCCACTGGGTTGGTTTTCAGTGGTTCACAATCTCCAACTTCTGTCAATTCGCTGGAGACTCTAGGTGATATGGCTGAGAACCGATGTCAGTGGTGCAGATGTATACATACATTATCCTCATCTTAACGACGCTATACCGAATCTCACCACTTTCTCATTCTTCGTTTCTCTCTGTGAGTACTTTATATATCCTTTGGTTGGATTTTATCTTCTTTATCGTGCACCTCACTGCCTTTTTATTTGATGTAGTGATATGAGGTGTGGCAACTCGGACCGTTACGCAGTAATGCCTGGTCCTAGGTTGATCTGGATGATGATAATGTTGATGTCAATTCACAATATATCGTGACTATCACCCAAGGTCTTCGGTTAGCATCCGCTTCACTTCCGACTGGTTGACCCCGCAGGTCACGTTTTCTCATTAGAGATTCGTGATATCCATTTGGAAGCAAGTCATTAATGAGCACTATACAGTAATGTATTTTTGAGATGAATGGGGATTTTAATTTAAAAGTAGTATTCATCATGTACTGATATCAGTTGGGGACCATTGGAAACCGATGCAGTGGCTGAATGGTTAACGCGTTCGCCACAAGATCTGAAGGTCTTGAGTTCGACTCCTAGCCGGGTCGTCGGTGCGTACTGCTGAGGACGAAACAAATGTCCAGTGCTCGCAGACCTTTCATGGTTCCGCAGCTGATGTCAGTCCATGCTGAACACTACCTCTAAATTAAAACCCCCATTCATCTCAAAAATGCAATAAAGTAGATTGTTTTGCTCAATTGCATCGATAGTATCTTTAACCTACAAAGCTTTTTTCCAAGCGAGTTGGTTGGTTTAATGCTACTTACATCTCAGCAGCCTTATCGAGAATTCTTCATAATGCTTCTGAGGTGCCTTCCTTATGTAGTAACACAAATCCAAATCCTTTGCGATGATTGCGATGTCAAATACATAGGTCAAAGTAGTCAACCAGGGCCAATTAGAATAACAGAGCACAAAAACTCGGCTAAATCAAGATTAGTAGATACTAATAAGATAAGAAATTTAGAGAAAAGCTCGGCTATAGCTCTGCATGCAATTACACACAGTTACACAATAGGGTGGGATAGAACAACAGTATTAAAAACTAACATAGCTGTTGGGTGGTGGGAGAGAGAGATTGATAACGGAATATGTATATCAAATCAACACCATATACATGCAGTAATAGAAATGATTCTGTACCCGTTTCAGATATATGGAAAATTCTACAATCATTGTCATCGCAAAGAAGGAGGGAGAATCGGGACTATATAAAGTCTGTCTCAAAGTTGTGGAGTTATCTGATAGAATATGAACAATAGATTGTGTCCGAAACGTTATCCAGTAAATGATACTGTTTGTTCACTGTGTGACATTTCTAATAAGCGGACTAAAATGGAATTACAATCTACCACATCGCTCACAATGGAAGCTCAGTGATGCTTTCGAAATGAAGACAGTAGTGAAACAAGGTTGCCTACTATCACCCATGATATTCCTGATTGTGGTCGACTGGATCATGCAGCAAACAGTGGGGAGCGAGAAGAGGGGGATACGCTGGACAGCAGAAAAGAACCTAGAAGATCTGGATTTCGTCGATGACTTGTGTCTAATGTCACATAAACTTGAATATCTACAGTCGAAAACTAACAAGTTGACAGAAGAGGTGAGGCAGGGCAGCGAAGATGGGACTTCAAGTGAATATAGAGATGAGAGAGGTGATGAAGATACCCCACACCACCACCACCACCACCACCACCACCATGAACGGGAGAAACTTAAAGGAAGTAACCTCCTTCACCTATCTAGACAACACTGTTCCAACTACAGGCGGCACAGGCACAGACGAGGATGTCAAAGTCAGAATCGGAAAAGCAAGACAGACGTTGATTAGCCTGAAACCAGTTTGATCTTCTGCACTCAGCAGGTGGAACAAGATCCGGATTTTGAACACCGACGTCAAGTCAGTGCTCCTGTGTGATGGTTGAGAGACTTGGTGTGTCACGAAAATCACTTCCAACAAACTGCCTACACTGGCTCGTTACTGAAGATCAGATGGCCAGAATAATAAGAATAAGCAACAAGGAACTCTGGCTGGCTGACTGGCTGGCTGGCTGGTAACGAACCAACGAAGCAAGAACCTATCGCTGAACAAATATGCAGAAGCAGGAAGTGGAGATGGATTGAGGATGCACTGAGAAGACCATTTGGAGACATGACGTGCCAGGCCAGGCCAGGCCAGGTCAGTCTGTGGAGTGGAAGCGAGATGGTAAGCGACGAGTTGGGCGTCGCAGCTGAGGGTGACGTGGAGGAGATGGTGTGAGGAGGAAATGAGAGTTTGTTGGCTGTCGTGGAGCCAGGTTTAAAAGATTTCAGAGAATAGAGTGGAATGGAGACGTGCTAATGAAGCCCTATGTTCCATTAGGAACCCAAGGGACAGGTTGTTAAGATTATTCTATTAAAGTCTATTTACAAAATACTTTCAAATGTTTCTTTTATATCAAAATAATTTTCTCATTGTTACAGGTCATTTTTCGTCCAGTGTTCAAAAAGACAGATATTGTACTGAAAGTACAAGAGAATATTATAAATATTCGTCATTTAGAATCACTTGATAGAGTATTACAAAGAAACCATCTTATCGTTCATGAAGCTAGTACAGATGAATTACCTATGGAATTACCATCTCCTGGAGCTCGTTACTGGCCACAATCATTTTGTTATGATCCATTGAATTGGTTTATAAGATTGTTGCAGGTAAGCTGTGATTCGATTACTCTTCATAGTTTATTTACGAACTACTGAAATGATATGAGTATTAATAATTTTCACCTTCCACAGGAGAGTTTTAATATGTGTAAAACACAATCATTGGATGATCGCAACTGATACACTTCAGTTAATGCCATTACTTCTCCCCTCATACTCTATTTATAGAAGTATGGCTCATTAATCTAGGCATTAGACTTTTAACTACATAGGTCATAGTTTTGAATCCTGTTTTTCCCCCAACGGAGAATTCGACCACGCTTCGTAGTATAGTCAGTCCTTATCCAATAGGACTCATTGTCAACTACACAAACTAACACGTGATTGTTGAGTGAATTTTAAATTCATACTCAAGTTGATAAGTCAGGCATTTAAATCATCAACTCACTGGTTGAAAGTTGAGTACCTTAACCAATAAATTATAGCTCCCTACTAAAAACTATCAAGTTGAGCGTTTAAAACCTCTCCTACCTCGATGTAGACAATTGGGTAGTGTTAGAAACTTTCAAACTGGTTGTTTCTCATACCTTAGTATATAAATCTGTATCACGTTGATGATACCCATGAGTATAAAACTGGGCAGCAGTAACGTAATTCATGCTTAAAAATACATTTAGGAAATCCCTATATCATAGGAACACATGATTACTATAATAATCAAGAGTAATATAAAAATTACTACTTTGATCATGGTAAGGCTAATGTTTTTACACGCAATCCTTCTGAACAAAAAAATCAGGTTTAAGGTTGTGAATTGCCAATGATTCATCTGTCTATAGATGATTCAGTGATAGGCTTTTGAAATTGTATGAGAGCGCTCTGTAAATTCGTTTGAAAAGACTACTAATTGGCATCAGATGTCTGAAGATGATAAGACGTTCAAGAAGAGAACTATTGACATTTTTTCTATCTCCCGTTGATATCCAAACTGCATGATATGATGAAATTGATGCTGTGTACAGCCAATGTATTTTGCTCCACAGGAATAAGTAACCTGATAGATTCATGTTGAGGTAGCCAAAAGCGGTAATCTATTCTATACGTATTGATGGATTAATCGCTTGCTAGAAAATGTGGTTCTCAGACTAACGGTCAGAGTAACTATGACTCTGTTCAGCGTAGTTCCGCTCCGTGGTTATATGCTAGGGCATCAAAGTAAAGAAGGTCTATACGATGTAGTCAACTGTTGCTGCCTCGCGAAAGCCGGGAGTGTTTTGTGCCCTAGAGATTACAAGATGAACCTAGCTGCTTACGAAGGTGAGCCTTCCTGTGGTCCCACTGCATATTAACCAATAAATCGTCAAGTTGACTAGGTGAAAGCCGCAGTTGATGACACCCGTAGACGCAAGATCAGCGGCACGGGTCTCCAAAGCGTGGAGGGGTTTGTTAGGCATTGGAATTTCACCCAGTGCACTGGGAACAATACAAGCGGAAGTTAGGGTGAATCCAGCCGTTGTTGTTGAAGCAACGCCAGAGATGGGTGTGATTTTATCTTGGGAAGGAGAGCAATGTTCGGCCCGGAATGCCGGTTTTGTTAACCCTACTCTTGGATGTATTTCAGCAATCCGAAGGGAGCCACTGCTGTAAATTTGTCGGCATTATGGGTTCATGGGTCAGGCCTCCTAGAAGAATATTTTCGGGAAGGTGAGCTGCACTCAGGCCGTGGCTATTTCAGTGAGACATATACACATCGGCCACCAACGTGGTAAGTACTGTCAGTGAACCGATTACTCGGCAAATGTGTATGCGTTGAAGCCTGACAGTTGAAGAGTTCTGAAATGACACTGATCAACCTGAGGGGGCGTTAACAGACTGCCCTGGTAAGAATGCTTTATCTGGATATTTTCCGCCCAGGTAACTAGTTCACTACTTACTAGCCAGTACTAAGCCTAGATAAAGAAGGAAGGTTGGACATAGGGCTGGCAAACCTACCCCGTAAAACCAATCTAACTGCTAAAGAAACTTCAAAGCACAGAGAAAATATTGCAAATAAAAATAAACTTATTCCTCAATGGAACTGGAGAGACAGAATGACACCGGTTGGTGAAAGCCTTCAGGAAACCAATTGGCCGATGTGTCTTCGCCTCTCTCAATGAAAGCGAAAGTAAGAATGCGGACATAGTATGTTCGAACAATATTTGAAGCTGGCTGGCAAGGCTGCCCAGATTGCAAAAGAAATGAGAAGGTATACCGTAGAAGTGCTAGGAATCTGGGAAAGCAGGTGGAATGGAAGTCGACTCTCCAAACTGTCACCTGGAGAGTCAATAGTCTACTCCAATATTGTCACCCAGACGACAACCACCAGCACACTGAGTTATCGAGTGGCTATCATGATATCCCCTTGAAGAGCATCGAAGGCTGTCTCTCATCCAGTAGGAACCGATCTCCTCCTCATGCAAGATCATGACAGCAAGATGGATTCAACTCAAAAGGAAGGAGGGACGGTCACAATCATACAATGCAACGCTACGCACCTACAAATAATGCGGATCAAGAGAAGAAGGAGGAATTCTGTAGACAACTGCAAACAGTAAGAGACAAGGACCCACCCCAGTTACTGGCATCAAAATTCCAATGGGTGGTGTGATATGAATGCCAAACTGGGAGCGGACAACGCAGAAAGAGAACTCATCATGGGTCGGGAAGCACTCGGTGAAATGATGAATGAGAGTGGAGAACTGATTGCAGACTTCTGTGCATTTAACGATTTGGTGATTGGAGGCGAAGCGTTGTGTACAAACAAAGGGATATTCACAAGGGTGCGACCATGGATTCTGTTTCACCAGATGGATACACTACACTAGAAATCAGATCGACTTCATCTCAGTGTGAAGAAAGTGGAGACGCAGCCAGCCTACTGGACACAAGATCAGATGAAGAAGGAGAGCAGATGTAGGTTCACATCACTCACTATCCTAGTGCAATGAACCCACCTTCAAAATCAAGTTGAAAGCCTTCAAAGAAGTTGGTGATAGACTACAGTTTAAGTTTAACACCCAGAACAGAAAGTGAAGGACGAAACTACAAAGGGCATCTTCACGTTGTCAGCCATGAGAGTAAAATGGGAGATATTGAGCGACATCCCTGAAGAAACCTCGTGGAAGAACACTGGAACTCTGTGAAAGAGATGTGGAAAGAAACCTGGATAACCGCATTGTGAACTAAGAAGAAGCGGCAAGACAAGGAATGGATCTCGACGGACACATGGAAGCTGATAGAGGAGGGAGAGGAAGCTGGTGAAGCAGAAGATAAGCCAGTGCAGTGCAGGGAGGAACAACGAGAAGAGGAACTGAATACAACGTATAAAAGACTACACTGGACAAAGAAGTGAAGAAGAGTGCGCACAAAGACAAAAGACACTTCTATGACACATTGGCAGGTGAAGCAGAACAGGCTGCAGGTAGGAGAAGAGACCTGACAACACTATATCAAATGACCAGGTTACTATCTGGGAAGAAACCAACACGGATGAAACCAATGAAAGATAGTGAAGGAAACGTAGTTACCAAAGAGGAGAACGAAAAAACGATGGGCTGACTACTGCAAACAACTCTTGAATCGAGCACCACCATCACCACTTGCAACTCGTCCAGAAATACCACCAGCAGCCAAGCCACAGACCTATCAGTGAACACAAGCCCTCCGACAAAGGCAGAAGTGAAATCCTGGACGCCATAAAGTTACTGAAATCCGGGAAAGCAGTAGGACCGGATGGAATTCCGCCAAAAGCACTGAGAACAGACGTAGGAACAACAACGGACACTCACACCACTACTGCAGAAGTTTCGTAAGGAAGGAAGGGAAGGTACCTGCGGATTGGAAGAAGGGAGACCTAAGTATTCGCAAGAACTAGTGCGGGATCATGCTGCTGTCCACCCAAAGCAAGCAAAATGTTAAGCCGCATCATCCTAGAGAGACTGAAAATGCTCTGCATTCAAAATTACGACCGAGACAGGTTGGATTTAGGAAGAAAAAATCATATGCGAATCAAATTCAAACGCTATACTACGTATCATCATACAACAGTGCATAGAATGGCAGTCAACTCAACTTCATCGAATCTGAAAAGGCCTTCGACAGCCTCAACCGAGAAATAATTTGCAAACTGCTTCAACACTACGCTTTTAGTGCCACAAACCTTTATCAACCTCATTCAACAGCCATATGACGACGCCACATGCCAAATGATTCATAATGGAAAGCTCAGTTATGCCTTTGAATTGAAGATAGGAGTAATACAAGGCCGCCTTCTATCAACGATGATCTTCCAGATTGTGGTGGACTGGATCATGCAACAAACCGTGAGGAGCGAAAAGATGGGCATACGCTGTCTGACCGATGAAAAAACCCTAGAATATTTGGGACTTCGCCGATGATTTATGTCTAATGTCGCACAAACTCGAAGATCTACAGACAAAAAGAAGAAAGTGGAGATGTTTTGGATTGGGCATACACTGAGAAAGACCATTCGGAAACATTATGCACCAGGCCCTCGAGTGGAATCCAAATGGGAAACGACAAGTTGGGCTTCCTAGCCGACGATGATATGGAGTAGATCGTGTGAGGAAGAAATGAAAGCTTGTGGGCAGCCATGGGGCCAGGTTGAAAAGACTGCAGAGAAGAGGGTGAAGTAGAGACGTGCTACTGAAGCCCTATGTTCCACTAGGAACCCAAGGGATGAATAAATAAATAAATATATTCGTTTAGTTTCCACTCTTCAAATGTGACTATCTGATTTAAAAAATCAACTTAGAGCCTCGTGCACAGGTGCAGAGACTCATGGTATCACTTTTCAAAGTAGTTCGCAAAAAAAGGTGCATAGGAAAAGAGTGGTATTCAAGTAGACAAAGTCGTATGAGAGAATAAATTTGCTATATCCTCTCTCTTTTCCATCCTTATAACTATCTACTACTTCGATTACATCATTTTCATTTATTGCCTTTTATTTACTTTGCTATGCCGAGGAAAGATGTGCAACTTGCGTAATTACACAGTAATTCTAGGTTATTTTTAAACTTAAACGCTTTCGGTTGTCATGACGACGGAAAACAGATGGCTCAATGGTAACATGTTGCCTACAAAACCTAAAGATCGTTGGTTTGATCCTCGGTGGGCTCATAGGTACACTTTGCTGGGGAGTCTCATACTGACACAGGACAATTGTCCGGTGCTTCTAGGTTTTCAATGGCTCTCTAATTGATGTCAGTCCGAGATGAATGGTACTTGTGAAATAGGCACAAAATCTAGATCCACAGTTTCCTTTCGCTTGACTTCTAAATGTCTTCATTTTGTGGCGTCTATGTTTGTTGCATCCCTAATTATAGACTTAGTAAGGTGATTACTCTTTCCTAATGTTTTCTTATATCTTCACCATTTCAATATTCAGTATCTTCAGATAATATTCATCTGACTAAACATGTCAAAGTTTTCAATCCATATAGGTACAAACTGGTTAAGCCGATATATTATCCTTTTTGTATTGTGTTGACTTATGGTAGACAAAACGTTTTATAAAGACCCATACAGTCGGACCATGCATAGATGGTGATCGATTGATATCCTGTCAAGAAGTGCACTTTCTTCTGTGGAACTCAATGTCATACCTGAATCAGCGAGTTCACAGGAAATGATCATGGAGTCTCTGGACACTTCCTAAAGGGAATTTTACAGATTCATTATATTGACTTAGTTAAGATCAGATGGATAACCACACTTAAGTCCTGTATGTGTATCTCAAAAACACAGCATACATCAATGACTCGAGATTCCAGAGTTTTGTCGAGTGAGGTCTATTGTCTGATTCGATATAGGGTTCGGACGTCGTTGTTCTAGGAGATTACGAATAATGTTTTCTCTCCTGGATCTCTAGAAATTGTCGCAGGGTACGAAGTTGCAGAAACTATAAGGGACATAGTGCTAGAAGCAGAAACTGGTAGTTATTTCAAACAAAGAGAAGTAGGTAAGATGTATAGGTTATGAATAAATAGGTTTCATGTGATGTCGACAAGCATACGATGGTTGAGACTTCCCGACTACGCACAGAAAGACAATAATCTGCGTATTTAAAACATAATTCTTAAAGTCGGTGAATTTATATTTGAAGTTGATGACAATATACCTCTGTCTGACGTATTAGACACTGAAAAAGACGGTGACATTCGTCAATGCTGTTCCGATGATGCATAGGATGAATTCTATCAAAAACTGTCAACTTTGCTACATAAACCAAAGCGTTCAGATGTAGTCATTACAAGAGATGACTTCAACGCTCAAGTAGGAAAGCTGAGCTAATTGGAAAGGTATGTTGGAGGTATCTACGTTAGGCCATGCCAACGAACGGACAACGGTGATTGTCTTTGCAGCTTTGTTCTGACAGTCACTTGCTTCTGGCCATCAACTTCATGCACAAGGAGTGAAATTGTCTTTCATGGCGTCTGCCGACATCAAACCAACGATGAATATAGATAGATCTCATAGCTACAAGCCATCGTTGGAGAAGATCGGTAGAGGATGATGGCATCTAATTCTGGAGTGCCTGCTTGGACTTCAATCACGCATTAGTATGAGTACGAGAAGGTATGTGCCTTAATGGTCACAGGAAACAGGCAGCAGTAACACTTGTGAGTGTTCGATTGAAGGCTAAGAATGTGAAGTACGTACTAAGGCAGGAGATAGCTAAGCATCTACCTGAATGTGACAGCAATTCTGTTCTTGATGAAGGTTGACGTGATATTCAGTGTGCTGTAGAAATAGTGGGAAAAATAATTGATATCCTATAAAGAAAGATCAGCAGAAGCCGGTGGATTTCGGTAATCCTATGCGAAATGATTCATACGAGAAGATCTATTCCAGTTGGCTCTGACCTCAATAAAAAGTGAAAGCAGCTGAAACGTAAATCTGACTACGAGTGTCTGCAATGGTTGTGAGCTGTTGTGGTTGACGAAAGCTGTTGAAACAAAGAAGGCATAAGCAATAGGTAACACTCGGTACTTATTTAGGCTGATTTAGGATACTTGTAGTAGGAAGGTTATAGATCTCAATCCTGTTTCAATTCACATCAGTAAAACCTACCGTTTTAGGTTTAAAGGTGGAGAACTACTGAGTAGAGTAACTAAGGCACTACCTGGTATATGGGACGCAGATACAGTTCCGTTAGACTGGTTCTGATTGTAGATTGTTTTAGATTATAAGCACGAAAAGAAGTTTTTCTGTGACAACTACAGAAAAATCTCTGCCACAAACATCGTGTCGGAGATTCTAGGATCCACAGTCACATGACGCCTATCTCATTCAGTCGTGTAAGGACCTGCGGAGAATTCTTATCTGGAATAATGATAACTACTGGTGTTCTCCAAGGATGCTTTCTTTGATGGTTCCTTTTTAACTCATTTACAGACGTATTAATGATTACCTTAGGTACCTGTTACTTCTCAGAGAGTCTTTCTTCCTGGGGGATCATTTAGTTGATTTAGAGTACGCAGACAGATATGCTAACAAAAAGCAGAATCTTCTGGATATTTCAGGCAAAAAATCTAAGTAGGTTCCCAATGTGTTTCCTACTCGCCCAATGTAAGACTGGCTTGCAGTAACTCGTAGTTTAAGGATAGGGAGTAAAGTGATGCTATACGTTGTTCACTTCACTTATTTGTGAATTTACATTAGCACTAATTGGGTGGTCGTTGACAAAATGTGAGTTCGGAGACCGATAACCCATTTGGCACTTGTGAAATCATACTATCTCTGGCACTGGCTAGGTATTGGCCTACTTACTGAAAGATAAGTATACTGCATGGGAGTCCTCTCTGTCCTAGTGTTTGTCTGTTTTGACCGTATCAAGCAGAGAAAATGAATAGACCGGAGATATTTGATTACAGATAGCTTTCTTTTGTTGGTCGCTCGCGGTTGAATCACTATATGGGCCAGTGTTGAGGTCAGGTATGGAGTTCTAACCAAGATATGTTTGTCAAACTTCACCGACTGAATTGACTTTGATGTCTGTTACCCATATCGAGCGGATAGTTGCCTTGAAGTGCTTTGTTAGCGAACTTGGATTATTACTATTACTTGTACTATACTGTCGTCGATTCGACTGAATTGATCGGTCTCTATTGGCATATGGGCTTCTGCGCGGATGCATCGATATTACCTGTGTTTTAATTATAGTAGTGATGGATGGTGGCTAGCAGTGGAATCCACGCCTCACATTTCGTCCTTCTTGGGACTCGTCAACTGGATGGATGCATCTGCCTCCCAGTGAGTGTTGTTCCCGCCGGGATTCGAACTCGAGACCGATCGCTTCAAACGCCAGAGCGTTACCCATTAGGCCACCGATCCACGATAGCCACTTTTTGTGTGATGGGCTTGGCTTTAGTATGATTGCTTGCGGCTCGTGGCTCGGTGGTCTAGTAGATAACGCTCTGACCTTTGGAGCTATCAGTCATGAGTTCAAATTCTGGTGGGGACAACATCACTCACTAGGAGGCAGGTACATCCAGCTGACAGGTCCTAAGTAGGACGAAATGCTCATCCTGAATCCTACTGTTAGCCACCCCTATCATTACTAGAAGTTGGATTAGTTGCGAATAAAGCTAAGGTCGGTCATTTCGCGACATTACGAGTCTCTGATTGTTAATCTGTAAAGTGCAGGGGAATGTAGACAACCTTACTATATTCTTCGGGACGATGTAAATTAATCTTCAGAGACTTCTTATAATTGGGCAAATGTGTATACTATCTTTACTGTGGTTAAAATTCTACGCACTTTTAGCAACCTTGGTTGGTGTACTCCCTTCAATCTTTATCTACTGCACTTGAACTACTCACAGTTCTGTTCTCTAGCTTCCTATTAACTGGCAAATTGAAGGGTGAACCTATACTATTGTCTTGATGTAATGGAACCTATAAATGATCGATGTTATTGTTAAATGCCATATTTATTTATTTACGTTAGCTGGTGGATTGGGTTGTAAACTCGTACATCGTGATGTTTGTATTGACAATTGAGATGTGATAAGCTTTTGCAATAAACCTTAACATTGTACAAAAAAGTCACTAACTATTAAACTATATCGTATAGGGAAGTTTAACCTTATTGCTTGGAATGAATGATTGGATATTCTTGATGAAATATCTTACGTAATCTATCACAGATGTACAAATGCGCATTCACCAGTTATTTTCTACAAAATCTCCATCATTCTTCCACACTGTACACCCGTATTTTCTCCTCTGTTCTTTCATTGCCTACATCTTCTGTCGAATTCCTTCTCCTATATATCACTGCAAAACGTAACTAGTTTAAAAGGGCTAATTGGATACTTGATCATTTCAGTTTGTAATAATCATAAAGTGTTGGTTGGATGGAGGCAATCGGCAAGAAGCCTTGGACCCAAGTTTCGTGCTCCTCAGCACTTGTCAGCATGGCGTATCTGCAAACCCGATGGAACTGATGTCTCGCCTGTAATTCAAACCCGTGTCACTTACTTTTTTAGTCAACGATGTTACTACTGAGCCACTCGGGCCACCGGAATTGCTCAGTGGTAACATTGCTGACTACAACGCTGGATGACGCGAGTTCGAATTTCAGGGGGGATATCAGTTCCATAGGGGTTGCAGATACACCATCCTGACGACTGCCAACGAGCAAAAAACTTAAGTCGAGCACGGCTCCTTGTCGACTGCTTCCAACCAACTAATATCCATCGAAGTTCATCTCGACATTGAACCTCCTAGCTTGATGGTCTCATTGTAAGATGACCGATTGGAAGTTGATCAGCACTCAAGACTAGACAAACTGTGACTAGTTCCTCTCCAGTGATCAACTAACATGTAAACTTTCTATCTCTTTGTTTATACTTTTCAGTTACGTTTAGGCAAGTATTTTGAAGTTTTGTGGGATCGTCATGGTGGTAACTGGATAGTATTACGATGGCGTCAGGATTACTATCAAAAATTAAATTCATCAAAGCCTTTTCAACTCATTCAATCTATATTCACTGTTGACTTGTTGGATGGGTTAACGCAGCATACAGAAGCTGACCAATTGACTGATTTACTTCTTGTATATGATGAAAAATCATTTGTAAGATTATTATCTGCTTGGGCGGAGAAGTTTATTCGACCATCAATTGTTTTTAATCAGTTGACAGTAGAGGAGAATACAGACAGGGGAAACAGTGAAAAACGTAAACATAACTCTGAAGACAACATTGAGATGGGAATGAAGAAGAAGATGAAGACAAGTGGGAAGAGTGAAAAGAAAAGAAGAAGAAAGAGAAGATATTTGTTAAATGATGATGTTAATATACTGCTGAATATGTAAATAAGTAAACTTTTCTACTATTTGTTCATTTTTTGTGTAGTGATGTTGTTTTTTAGAAATCTTGTTCACTCCTTTACGTATTCATATTCATCTGTTTCAGTTATGAGTCCTGTGAGTATGTTTCAATCTGTTCTCTCATCCATCGTAATGTTTACAGATGATGTATGCCGCTTGGGTAGGCTAATACGTCCACCTCTTTGTAGTTACTAAGATTACAGTTTAGTTGGCTAGGTGAGTGGGAAAAGATTTTGAATCTAATACAATGGTCCATCATTTCAATGAATTCATACTTGTAAACCTGACTTCTACTCAAATGTAATAGAAGACGTCTGCAGGGAAATATTTGATCTGTTTATTAGAAATATGATACAGTGAAACAGTATCATTTACTGCATCAAGTTTTGGACACAATTTATTGTCCATATTCATATCAGGTAAGTAACTCTATAACTTCTGAACAGAGTTTATAGGGTCCTAATTTTTTTCCTTTCTTTGTGATGACAAAGGTAATAGAATTTTCCATATATCTGGGACAGATGCACAATCATTTCTATTACTGCATGTATATGGTGTTGATTCGATAAACAAAGATTCAGTCGGTCATCAATCTCTACCTACTTCCACTCAAGTAAGTTAGTTTTCAACACTGTCATTCTATCCCACTCTACTGTGTGATTATGTGTAATTGTATGCAGAGCTATAGCAAAGCTTTTCTCTAGATTTCTTATCTTATTAGGATCTACTAATCTTGATTTAGGTAAGTTTTTGTGCTCTATTATTCTAATTGGCCCTGGTTGACTATTTTGACCTATGTATTTAACGTCGCAATTATTCCGAGAGATCTGGAAAATTCTACTATTGTCATCACAAAAAGGTTTTGGAGTTACTTACCTGATATGAATATGAACAATAAATTATATCCGAAAGGCGTTATCCAGTAAATGATACTGTTTCTTCACTGTGTGATATTTCTAATAAACAGACTAAAATGAAATTACAGTCTACAACAGTGCCTAAGTTTTACTCGTATAATAATGTAGCCTTGAATGATTACGTGAATTAGAGGTGTCTTGAAGAATCCATGTGAAACAATTTTGGATACGCCTGTGCTACTGTTAATCCTCTATCAACTATATCACTGAAGTTCTCAATTCTGACAGTTTAGTCAGACAGATTACATTTTCATGTATAGTTTCAACCACCACTATCTTAAGATTGTTGGCATTTCTTAAGTTGACGACTATGAGGTTAATCATATTAATACTAATAGGTTATCATATAATCTATGGGTGTATTGTTGTAGCAGAGAAGGATGAATCGAAAATTATGATGTAATATGAATTTGGTGGTGGAAGTTCTTTCATTTAGTCCTCAGTTGCAGCTAACTATCTCAAAAATAGGCACATGATATATTTTTACTTCCTAAGGGGGTTTATAGTCATTTACCGTGATTTTTCCCCTTAATACATAGTACATATAGTATGATTTGAAGACATATGAAGTTCAAAAAGAAAACTTTTTATTTGATGTAACCCAAGAATTAACCAAGCCTGAACATTTCTAATTAACCTATTTGATGCTTGTTATTTAGATGGTCAATCAATTTACGTTCACAATATTGAGAAGTTATCAGTATAGGTTCGTACAAAGGTATTTTGGCAAATATGGTAGGTAACCGGTCATAGTTGAAACTGTGGCTCATAAGTAGTTTAGGCACTTGATTTCCATTCTACACTTTAATGTAATCTATGCTATTTGAACCAATATCTCACTGTACACGAGAAGTTGGTGTTCCAACAGTAACGCACCTATAGATCTCTTTTACCAAGTCATTAGTCGGAAAATAGCTAATTCGTGTTATCTGGTTGTACTTAGGAGTATTTAGTGTTGAAGTAGTTTAAGAGATAAAAAGGATCCTTTTAAAGGGGGATGCTTCAGATTAAATTCAAAGGAAGTGATTGAAGTATTCACCTGAACTGGTTACGCGTTATTGTTTTTTTAGGGTCACGACTCTTTCCCTACTGTTTTGCAGCGAATTCATAGCTATATAGGTTTTCGTACTAATTACTAGTCTAGAAATAAAACTAAGAACGGTTATAAGATATTAGAATAGATATGATCGGTGTGGAGTTCTTACGATTACCATATACAGTGTGTTTTTACCTATGCTAAACTTTCCTCTTCAACTAACCCATTAAATTTAATGCAACTGTACAAATAAATGTACCTTCTTTTGTAGTTATCGATGAAACCCAGTTCTGTAACATCATCTCTCATTGAACAAGTACAAATCTCATACAAGATACACTTTCGTTTTTACTCAAGACCTTGGAGAGACATTATTTTTCCATCATCTATCATCATCAATATCAACATAGGACCAGGTATTACTACGTAACTGTCCGATTTGCCACACCTCATATCACTACATCAAGTGAAAAGGCAGTGAGGTGCAAGATGAAGATAAGAGAATGCAGTCAAAAGAAATATAAAGTACTAAAAGAGAGAAGCGGAGAATGAGAAAGTGGTGAGATTCGGTATAGCATCGTTAAGATGAGGATAATGTATGTATACATCTGCACCATTGACATCGGTTCTCAGCCATATCACCTAGAGTCTCCGACCACCGGTTCCTCTTGTCCCTCGAACCCCAATCACCTAGTCTACATCGCCCCACATGGCTCAAACCAACAGTCACAGACTTCATACATTGGTGCCATGTTTAAGTCTGGCCACCTCGAGCCTTTCTTTCAACCTGGACCTACTTCGGTCAACATTGTGTGATGAGGCAGTCGGTGACTAGACATACGTAGTACGTGTCCCAATCATCTCAATCGATGAAGGTTCATAATCTCGTCAACTGACTTGCCCCTACTCCCTAAAACTCTACACCTAATTTCTGCATTACTCATGTGGTGACACCACAGAATACGGCACATACTACGAAGGCAACGGTGGTCAAACACTTAAAGCCTTCTCATATCTTCCACTTTCAATGGTCACGACCCTCGGTAGACAATCGGGTAACAGGGCGGCACCTCAGGTGGCGTAAGTTGGCGAAAGCCAATCAAGCCTTTTGTATCCGTGCAGAGATTTAACCGGCCACTGAGCCATCGGGGCTGATCCTACTTCCCAGGTAAGTGAAGTGGTCAACACACTCAACCACTTCACTCTCTGTTATTAGCCGTGGCACCTTTGAAGACCAATCCTGCAGCAGTAATTTACATTCGGTATCTGAAATGTAACAAGGTCTTCACCAGCGCAATGACAGGCATCTGATGGGAACAAGACATCAAATAGGTGTTTCTCAATCCTGCAGGATAATCAACAAACAAAGGACACTATGTTTATTACTGTTAGTGGGCCTACCCTCGCTATTGAACATTCTCAACCTGAACTATGTACTCGGGAGGAGACTGTAACTGACGTTTTTTTTACCTTGCTACCTGCATTTAGTTTTTTTGCATGTGTATGTATATAGGTCTTCCCTTTTCTTTTGATTTCGTCATCGTTTGATTAACTACTTGTTGACTGCTAATTACTTGACGATTTTACAGTTTTTCGTGTAATTAGGTAACCTATAAGCTCTTAAACAGTCCCTTATTTTACACTAATTTTCGCTTGTTATCTCTCCACCTCACAGCTCCAGGATTTTCTACCTCAACATACGATTTTGATTAAGATTCATAACTAATAATCTTGTATTCCCTTGACTCACAGCCTTATTTTTAATCCAGGATTTCAAATCTCCACTTATTTCTACATATTGAAAGAATGTTATACCATTAATACCATTAATATCGCATTTCAAATGAGGGCGGTTTGCAGCTGATGAAAGGCCATGAAATAAAATAAGCTCATTTTGTTCTGAGAATGTCTTTATCAAAAACAAGATATTCAGCGAAAAGACTCTTTTCAACGAATTTATTTTCAAGCTGTACAATCGTATATATATATGATATTTGAAAAATTACATTGCGTGAGGAAAACTAAACACTGTATGATGATGATGACAATAACAACAGAGTGGATGAATGATAACAATGTATATTACGTAATATATGGAATATCTTTACCATCACACTGTTTAGAATGAATTTTTAGATACAATTCTATACTGGTTGATGATTGGTGGTGAAATGAAAAATGTGAACTGCGGCCGGAGTCAAACTAGCGACCACCGGGTTTCCGTCCTGGTGCTCTTCCGCTTAGCAATGTTGTTACAGATAATTTTCCTAGTACACTTTTGCTACTTGCAAATGCATTGAGTAGTTTATCTTCTTATTGACATTTATGCATAGCTCCGTGTATTATTAACTCTTCAGCGAGGTTTTCTCAATTTTGAGAAATAACCTAAAATAATACACCGTCGAGTAAGTTCCTCTGTTTTTCAATGACAGTTATGATGTATACATATACTATCCTCATCTTAACGACGCTATACCGAATCTCACCATTTTGTCATTCCTCTTTTCTTTCTTCTCGTACTTTATATTTCTTTTGACTGCATTCTCTTATCTTCATCTTGCGCCTCACTACCTTTGTACTTGATGTAGTGATATGAGGTGTGGCGACTCGGACCGTTACGCAGTAATGCCTGGTGCTAAGTTGATCTACATGGATGGATGGTTTGTTTGAATTACTGTATTAAATTGTAAGATTCCTCTGTTATCTAAAGATTAAAGTCACAGCCATCTCAGGGCTTACAAACTAGTGAATGGGAAAGAATGCAAACGCACTAGTAAATGGTTCGGTATCATGTTTAGGTAGTTTACTCAGTCGATCGGAATACAGTCACCAAAATTAGTTCTTATTTCGTACCTCAAACTATAACCTTCAGATTTTATATTTGAATGGTTTCTCAGTTCCTTGGAAAATAGAAAAGGTTCTAAGATAACAGGTTTATTGCAATATGAATGGTCTGTATATGTTTACAATAGCCCTGACTATTTCCAGCCCTTTGTAGAAGGACATTCTCTCTAGGCTTTTCAACCAGTCTG